ACCTGCATTTCTAATGAGCTGAGGCTACCAGTCTTGAGACCACACCTTGAAATCATGATCTATACTCTTCACCACTTAGAGTTATATAGAATCTGTGGGAAATTCACAAGCACGTAAACTGGGTTGCCTAAAAGTTCAGCCTCATTACTTTCAAGCAAAGGAGTGGGTCCTTCGGTGTGAGAAGGAAGAGAAAATCAATGGGGCTGAATGTCCAAATATGGTAGCTGTTGGGTGGAGTTTTCAGTTTGCCAGGAAAGGTGTCCTAGGGAATAAAAGTTCAGGTGAATTGTCTTGAAGGGAAAAGTGAGAATTTGGGAGAAAAGGAAAGCAATTGGTTTAAAATTGCTCTAAGTTTTTTTCCTTGGATGATGGATATCATCCTAGAGTTGCTTTCGGGGTTCACTGGCTAAGAACATCAGAGGCCAGAGGAAAGATCCTGGATTTTAGGGCTGGGGGAGCTGAAGCTAATAGAAGAACCGTAGCAGTTCTCTTCCTCAGGCTTCCCCTAAGTGTGTGGTATAGGTATTCCACAAATAAAGCAATTTGTGGTCCGGTAATTTGGGGAAGCTTTGCCTACAGAACCTCCAAGCACCCCACTGTCCCCACCCACTGGAGACTCACACAGCACATTTGTATATTACAGGGTCTGAGAAGTTCTACAGCAAAGAAACATGCTTAACTCTGTAAATCTGGCCTTTATCTGACATGTGGGAACACTCTGAGGAGTGCTGATCTGGTTTAAACTTTGCACTTTATATCTGGGGAAAAATAGGATCACAAAGGTTGAGAGTGATTTATTCAAGGTCACTGAGCCAGTGGCAGGAGTAGGGATGGAAACAGGCTTTATGAATCTTAGTTCATTTGATGGGCAGATATCTTTCTCTGTGGTCATGAAATACCTTGAGATGAACTATCCATATCCCTGGACCCTGAAGACAGGACAGCATATAATAAAAGGCTTGCAGCTCCAGCATCACTTACTAATGTTAATCAGAAATCCCAGCTCTTGGGTCCCACACTCGAGCCACTGAATCAGAACCAGTGTCTTAAAAACACCCAACTTCCTAAAGGATTATGTGGCTGGAGGTTGTAAGTGATGGCTTGGAGAACTGACAAAGTCTTTCTTTTGCCTTATTATACATTGGAAAAGCAACAAGTACTGCTTTAAAGACAAATCCCACATTTTACATTGCATGTGAGCATCTAATGATCCAATTTCCCTCTGTGGTCGAATATTTAGCCTTTTTCCTATGTTTCCATTTCATTATTATTGTTTCAGATTCCATAAGTAAGTAAAAAAATCCTTTGGTTTGCATAGTTATACCCTTTACTCCTCAATGTAGATTCATTAAAAATTTTTTTCACTCCATAGAACATCAAGTTTTCTCTGGGCAAAGACAAGTTTAAACAGATAGTGGGTTCACTAGGAGACTCATTTCCCATTTTCCATGGCAAAGAATCCGAGCACTGGAACAGGGTATCATTTGCTGAATATTTTTGTAAAGACAGTTCAATTTCAGGCCCTTTATTTGGGAGAGAGTTGGCTAACCCAAATAAAACATTTTACATCTGTCTGTTGTTACGAGTGACCAACTTCAGCTGAACATCATTACTTAATAACAGCTAACTTTCCTATAGAGTAAGAATACACAGCAGCTGAAAAGCAAATGGAAATTTCCTTTGGTTTACCACCCTTGGTCTCTCCGTGCTCCAACATGTGAATAACTTGGGTAATAAGCATATACTCCCCTCTAATCACAGCATGGCTTGGACATGCATTGTTGTAAGATGACTGGTAAAACAGGAAAATTTATGTCTGAGTGGAGAAAAAAAACAAGGCGGGTTGGCCTGCGATAGCCTCCCTGATGCACTGCCCCCAATTTTCTCTTTAGGGAAGAGATTTAACTAGCTCATGGAATCTTACTTACTATTCTAGTCTGGATTAGTTCAAATGTAACACAGAGAAGATGGCTCCACATTGTTCCCTTTAGATAAGGAGATGAAAATGTAGAGCATCTGGGTTTGTCTGATCATAACCCGGAAGCTGGAAATAATTCAGAACGGAAGGCATCTATTTTTGCAGATGGTGCTTGTACAGAAACAAGTATTTTATTTAGTATATTCTATTTAATGAAACTTCAAACTGGGCATAGTCAGAGCACTAAAAGACGAAGAAAAAAACGGAAAGCAAGCAAGCAAGTTTGTGTTCTCAAACCCGCATCTCTGTCCTTCAAAAGTTGCTTGAGGCGAGATCACTGCATTTTTACACTGCATCATTATATAATTTGCAACACTCAGATTGATTTTTCCCTAAATAAGTCTCATTCACTAAGACATTGAACCCGCCGCCTTTAACCACTCACATCTATCTTTCTTTGTCTCACATATATAATATTTTTTACTATGGTGAAGGAATAGAAACATAGAAAGCATATCACATTATAAATATACATACCGACTTCAGGCCGGTTTGTTTTCTGGCTTCATGCTGACTACTTATTCTTCTGTTAAAAATAAATTTGGAATTGTTGGCCTTGATCAGTTGATGATTAATGGGCTTTGGTGTGATTCACCTGGATGCGAGGGTGACATTCTCCTCCTCGGTGATGTCTATGCTCCTTATTTTCATGATTGGAATCTCATCCCAGACAAAGGAAATTATGATGTTTGCTTGATTTGGAACCAAAATACTTAACAATGGGATGAGTGTCAAAAGGTTTTGAAATTCAGTTTCACCGTCAGTCTAAACTTTGACCATATTTCTCTGATACAGAAACTGGATTATCACAGGATCTCGGGGGACACAGTTAACACCAAAATTCTTGGAAGGTGGTAAATGTACTTTAAGGACTGGTAATATTTCTGAGTTGTCTGCTTGTCCCAAAGTTGAAAACACAGGTGTTTGTGATCACTGGGGGATAATAAGAAAATTTCAACTTCAAAATATCTTCACATTTAATCAAAGTCTGAGACCTTTGGCAGCTAACTAATCTCCAACAGTAAAAACTGTAAGAAAACACTTTCTAACAATCTGTAGTTAATTAGTTGGGGGATACTGGCCCAATTTTGGTGTTTTTAGGGTTGCCAGGTAAAATACAAGATGTTGAGTTAAAACAGAATTTCAGGTGGACAACAAATAATTTTTAGTTTAAGTATGTCCCATGCAATACTTGATATATACGTATTCTCAAAATCAGTCATTGTTTATTTGAAATCCATATATATGTACCACATAGATATAGTACAAAGGAGTCCCATATTTTTATTTGCTAAACTTGGCATCCCTAGGGAAGAGCAGATCGATGCTCAACAGTAGTTCAGAAGGTCAAAACACTCAAAGACAAGGTTCAATATACAGACAACTTTCTTAGAAGAACAGCAATCCGGATTTTCCCAGTACTAGGACTCCTGGAAACAATTCTAACCATTATGGGTTGAAAGCTTTTTCACGTATGGTACATCAGAGGGTGTCAGGAAGTCTAATAAGTCTAGTAAGCTGGTCTCATTTTTAATATTTTAGCTCAGGGATTCTTTTTTTAAGTTTGTTTTATTAAAGTATAGTTGATTTACAATATTATGGTAATTTCTTCTGTACAGCAAAGTGATTCACACACACACACACATATATATATACACACATTGTATACGTATATATATATATCTATAGACATTCTTCTTCATGTTCTTTTCCATATGGTTTATCACAGGATACTGAATATAGTTTACCGCACTGTACAGTAGGACCTCACTGTTTATAAGTTCTACACATAATAGTTGGCATCTGCTAATCTCAAACTCCCACTCCATCCCTCCCCCACCCCCTTCCCACTTGGCAACCACAAGTCTGTTCTCTGTGTAGCTCAGGGATTTTTAACCATCTTTGTGTTATAGCTCTTTTTGGCAGACAGGTAAGACCTAAGATTGCTTTCTCAGAATGTGTTTAAATAGATAAGAATAAAATAAATATGACTACAAAAGACACCGATAATATTAAAATGCACTCATTAAAATATTTTTAAAACAAAATTGTGCTCTGTTTTAAGTATTAATTAAGAAGAGCTAGTGTCTTGAAAGGGTGGTGAGCAGAAATGTTATTTCAAAATCTCTGAAGCAACTACATGTTGAAATACTGTGACCTCTACTATGACACAGTCACAGTTGGGGCTAAAATGATGGTGGTGTGTTACACATTCATAGTAAAAAAAAAAAAGCCTAATAGGTGATTGAGAATCAACAATTCCTCTTCCCCCACCCCTCCCCACCATCCTAGGACATGGACACTCCTGATTCTACCCCGAACCTCTCCAGGCTCTGTGCACCTGTGTGTAAACCCTGCTGTGAGTAAGGCTTCTACATACAGTAATTCTGATAACGTCACAGAAATCGGGCCAACCTACTGAATCCTTCTTGGTTGATTTCCCTACAAACACTCCCTTGCCACTGATAACAAAGATGCTGTTACTTCTGGAAGAGTAGTTGAGATATTTCACAGAATTGCAATTAACTCCCTTTCCACTAGGACACCACTGGGGGCACTAGTGTTGGCAGTCACCACTCCCTTGGTGTTCATGTCATTGGAGCAATGATACCCATGGGGAGACAGTCCAACACGCCCTCCTCTGGACATGATGGTACAGTTTCTTACATGGAAACAAAGGAGGAAATAGCAGCTCAGGTACACACGTAATTCTCTGTCTTCACAGCCTCATGGGCTGCATTTCTCAGAACTGTGAACCTGGATTTTTACAGTTAAGACACTATTTGGTTGCATGCAACTTTGTATTACCATGATTTCATCGTATCTCTTACCAGGAAAAAGAAAGCATACTCATCTACAGAGTAATGCAGACAACAGCTCCCTTTATAAGTCCTCCAGCAGCCTCTACTGCTGACAGGATAAATCCTCATCCCCTTTGCAAAGCAAAAGGCCCTTCTAAGCCCTGGCTCTCGTACCCTCTCCATCTTTGTTGCCTCCAGGATTTAGCCTGGTGTGTACTTACCTTTTCCCGACTGCTCAATGTGTTCATGGCTCCATGACCAGCAGCTGCTCCTTCCTGAGGGTGCTTGTCCTGCTGTTTCCTTCTCCGTCAAATTCCACCTGTTCTTCAAAGGGCAGGTTGAATATTACCTCCTCTGAACTTAAAAAAAAAAAAAATTAAACACTTCTTCAGAGGCAGTGTAGTGTAAAGGTTAAGAGTACAGTGTTCTGCTTCTGTTACGAATTGCTGTGTGACTTTCAACTACTTACTTAACCCCTCTGAGATTCAGTTTCATCCTCTGCAAACTAGTGCTAATAATCATGCCCACTCATAGGGTGGTGTGAGGTTAAAACATATAAAGCACCATAAAACTCTGCCTGTTCACACTAATAATTATATAAGAGTTAGCTGTTATTGTTATGTGTTTACAATAAACAAAACACACAAAATATGACTTACCCAAAGGAAATTTACCACAGATGACAGAAAGTTCTTAGAAGTCAATAAATTACTGTTTTTCCCCCCAAACAGTAACATTTATAAGTAAACAATTCAAAAAGAAATTAAAAGGTAAAAAATCTTGAAGATATTTCAACAATTATTCATTCATTTGTACACCAAAAGTTTACTGAGCACCTACTATGTGCTGCAGTATGCAGGGGCCTGCAGATCCAGCAGGGAGAAAGACTGACTTGGTACTCACTTTCATGTAGTTTACAATAGATCAGGGAAGAGAGGTATTTAATAAATCATTAGAATAGAACATGGGGTGTACAACATGTCCTAGCCTGGGGTTCCAGGAAGACGTCCTTGGGGAGGTGGCATTAAGGTGGAGACATAAAGAAGGACGAGCACTTGGCAGGTAAGGAGGCAGCCTGGGAGAGAGATGAGTGTTCTGGGCACAGGGCTACATGGCATTTGCAAAGGCCTGGAGCTTGCCTTCTGGGACGTGAGGAAGGGTATTGAGTTGGGGAGCGTAGAGGGGGTGGAACAGGAGCTTAGGGCTGAGCCACACTATGTAGGGCTCTGTGGGGCCCTTGAACACCATCAGCACCATCTTAGCTGAATGAGCAGCATCTTGGAGTTTCAGTCAAGGAAGAGGTAGGATCAGACTTGCCTTTTCAAGTCATGTTCTGTGACATGACACGGGGAATGGATTGGAAAGAGGCAAACGTAGATGCTGGAAGTCGGGCTATCAGGTGCTTTCAGTAATCCAAGCTAAAATTAGGGATGCGCAGACAAGGGCTGAGAGGGGCCAGGGGCTCTGAGTTTCACGTTCCAGACAGAGTCAGTAGGCGGCTCTGACAGGTGGGTGGGGCGTGGGTGGAGAGGCAGACGGGGTCTCAGAGATGACTCCTGACTTTCTGGCATGAAAAAGAGGTGGATTGGATGTGGGTATGTTACTGAATCCAAGGACACTGGAACTTCCTCTGTAGCTAACACCCACTCATCCGTTATCAGACACCCACGCTGTTAGAATGTCTTAATGTTATATCAGTGTGGAACTCACTCTGGTACATAATCCCAATACTGAAACAGGATCCAAGTTTGGGGGTGAGGTTCGAGGGAATGCACTAGGGCTGCCTCAGATGTGATCTGGGGTCTGTGCTGTTGGGTCTGATGTTAAAAAGAGAGGGCTGGGCAGGAGGGATGCCTTTACTGTTTAAGTCTACAAATAGAAAGTGAAATATGTAAGTGAATGAGATTCTCCTAGACGTAGGGTGTGGGAGAAGCAGCCCCAGACTGAGTCGTGGGCAGCCCCAAGGCCAGGCAGAGCAGGAGACATTGGCAAATGAGAGTAAGAAGGAGCCAGGGGTCCAAGAAACACAGCTTTTCACTGATCAGATAATCAGACGTTTTAAAAGACACGTCAACATTCTGTATCCACAAGCATGCAGAGGCGAATGGCTTCATACATGGCCTCCGATAGAGTAATTTGGCCAAGCTGTTTTGGAGGCAATTTGACAATGTATAACTAAAGTTTAAAACTGTTTATTATTCATAATCTTTGACCCAGTAAATGTACTTCTAGGAACTAATAAGAAATATGCATCAGGATTATGTGTAAGAGCGTTCTCTGCGTTAGTTGTAATGTTAAAACCTCCAAACCAACCTGGATCATCAATAATATAGAAATGATTTAAAATGTACAAAATATTTATAAGCTGAAATATTATGTGGTCTTTAAGTCACGGCAACGTGCTAAAATGTTAAATTTTAAAAAGGCATTAAGGGGGGCTTCCCTGGCGGTCCAGTGTTTAAGACTTGGCGCTTCCACTGCAGGGGGCGCGGGTTCGATCCCTGGTCAGGGAAATAAGATCCCACCTGCTGCGTGGCATGGCCACCCCCCCAGCTTCAGCGCTATTTTCAGGTGAGAGATCCAATTTTTGGGGGGTGAAATTTGGAACGGCATTATGTAAAGCTGAAAAGGCAAGATAAGTGCTCGGCTTTTCTCTCACTAGATAAGATTAAAATGAAATGTCTCTAAAATGTTAACAGCAGTTATCTCTTCAAAGGAAAACAAAATTAGTAAGGTTTTTTAAAACCAGACTTTCCATTTTTATGCAGTTAATCTGAAAATTCAATTTCCCTAGCACAAACCTTTCCCAAACATTCCAGATTTTACTGTAAATGAGAAGTACTTACTGTGCTCTGCTGAGAAACTTTCCACACACTGTCGTGGCCAAACCATATGAAATAACTTACTCTCAGAGTCGTTCGATTTTACAAACCCAAGAGCCTACTGTTCAGTAAGCGTTCAGGGTTATTATTTCATGTCAATTTAAATTATTTCATTTAACTGACTGAGTTAGAAGAGTTTGCACTTCACCCAAGAGGAACGCTGATAAAGCAGGTTTCCTGCCCAATGCCTTTGCTCAGGGAGGTCCCTTTACCCCCAAGTTCCTTCTCTGTGCCCTGTGCCTGGCAAACTCCTATTCATCCCTTAAGGCCCAACTCAAATGTCACCTCCTTCAGCTTCCAGAGGAAGCTCGTCTTACTCCTCTCTTCTGCCTTTTGCAAGTTGTCCACACTGCATGATAAGACTTATGTATTGCTGTAATGATTTGTTGTGAAGCTTCTTTTTCTCCTTAAACCAGGCTCTGTGGGGTGATCAATTTGTCTTTTAACCCCAATGCCAACACAAGGCCTGCTACATGGTAAGAAAGAAACAGGGTGGTCAGAGATGCTGTTCCATGAACACAGAGCCATCCAGATTTAGTAACTGATGTCACCCATTTAAATGATGATGTTCTAGGTCAGAGGGGAAGCTAGTCCAAAGCTAGGTGCGTCAGAGAGGATACCAAATACGTTACTGACTTGAATGACTAAACTAAAAAACAAAGATTTAGACTTCCTATTTTGATTCATAGCCCAAAGAACATCCTACAACATCTTACTTTGAAGAGAAAAATGGATTTTACATTTCTCAACCTGATGAAATTGATAAACACTAAATATAAATGCGTATGCTGGGGATATGGCTTTACCTATGGGTGGCATACATATATTCAATTTAGCCCAACAAATTACTTTCTATGTGTGTTTTGTGTTCCCTGAGGCCTTAAGAACCCTGACCATCATATATAAAGTGTTCTAAGATTCCTTTTAGCTCTCTATTTGCTTTCTTAGAACAGGGATCTCCAAAGTATTGCACCCCAATAACCTAAGAGGGTACAATAAGAAAGTAATAGAACTATTCACATTTAGCTTCTGCTTCATCCTTTTAAATGTTTGCATTTTGTGCATATTTTAAAATGTACATCATATATTAGTAAAGGACAAAAAATTTATATATGATGCACATATGTCCCAAAGTGTTCGTGTGTGTGTGTGTGTGTGTGTGCGTGCACGTGCAGAGAGGGACTGTACATTTTTTAATCCACTGCTCTAGACTAGTGTTTATTAAACTTTAATGTGCAGACAGGTTCCCTGGGGATTGTGTTAAAATGCAGATTCTGATTTAGAAGATCTGGACTGAGGTCTGAGAATCAGCACTTCTAGAAAACTCCCAGGTGATGTGATGCTGAGGCTGGAGGTGGCTACACTTTGGATTGCAATCAGCCTTTTGCAGCCCTGGTTCTTCATCTGAACTGCACAGCATGGAACACAGAAGGTGGTTCCAATAACTGTTTATTTGTGACTCCCACAGATAGCCGTAACTAGCACTGCTCGAGAGCAAAGGAGAGAAGGTAACTCATTCCAAGCAAAGGAAGCTGTGGGGACATGAAGCCTGACTTCTCTCACAGAGAAAGGGGCCTCCAAGGAGCATGCTGGCACATGGCTTTACCTGTGCGAGAAAGTTCAAGGGCACTAGCCAACTTCATTAAAACAAACAAACAAACCAAAAAACCCCACTGTTTATAAATCACCGTACAGTCTTACAAAACAGTCCTGGAGTCAGCAATTCTTTTCCAGTGTTTGGCTTCTATCTGAGAACTTCCTTTACAAGAAGCATTGCTGGAAACCAAGGTCTTGACCACTTCTAATGGTCGAAGATCCTGGGGTGCTAATGTTAAGTGGCAGAGCGCTAAGTCCGGAGTTTCTGACTAATAATGGCAAAATCCAGACACCCTCACCCTAATGGGGCCCTGATGTTGGGAGTCAGTGAGTTACAAATGCTCTCTGTCCAAAAGAAGAGAAGAAAAAAAACACATACATATAGCCCCCAATGAATATTTGTGAGTGAATATACACACTCACACATACACACACATTTTTGACAAATAAAATGTTTCTCTTAATTTGCAAAGTCTACCCAGCAATTCACGTTTGTGTGTCCCATAGAACTTTCGAAAGACAACTTTGGTCTAATTTGAACCATATGCCTTAGCTTAATTTCTGAGCTGGTTTACTATGGAATAGTGGTTACAAATGCGTTTTTGAATATCTAACAGCTTTTCCACTGTGTAACTGGTGTCAACAAAAAGTGGCGTATAACTGAATTAGAAAGACGCTTCTTCAGACTCTAGGTCCGCTCTCCACACAAGTGTAAGGCAGCCCAACAGGACTCAGCCTCTAACCACCTCAACACCTAAGGGCACATGTTCAAGATTAACAAAGAAAATGGAGACAAGAGGATGGACGAGGAAATTCCAAGAGGCCTTTAAGCTGTCCGCTTGAGATGAGCTGGCCCCTGAATTTAGACTTCTTGGTCAATT